CCACCATGAGGCCTGGTCACAGACCGAGCCGCGGGGCGTTGACCCTCGAATTTCTCTTCAGGTATACTCCAGGTATCTATATTTCTGCGCATTAACCATAAAACATCATCATATCTGTACCACTTAACTTTATTGGGAAGGATTCTGTTAGCTGTCTTATTTTAAAATATTCTTAGTGTAAAACTCACCATTATTTATTTTGCACTGATTAATTTTGACGTCACTTCATTGTTCGCAAAAATTTCAGTTGACAATTTATTAAGTTTCCTATCTGAAGACCTGGGAAATTACGATTTACCATTGACTGTACTAATAATCATTGAGCTTGTTAAACTTTGTTTTGTTGATGCAAAGTTTGTGTTTAATATTGATTTTTACAATCAGAAAGTTGGTATCTGGGAAGTAAAATATTTTGTTCACAAAATAATTACAATACCGAAATTGTTTTAGTCTTCCCAAGTTTGTGTCATATTTGTTTCGAGGCAACGAAGTGTATATAGTCTCTGATATGTTAATGCTAGTCACATTGGCTAAGGATGGCGATGGCTCTAGTAAATTCCTGAAATCGCCCTTCTATTTTCACATACATCCTTCACCTATGTTATTAAAAGGATTGATTAACTTCTGTTGCTTGAGACATTTTTAAATGCTTTTCCTTAATGATTTTTTCCACGAAAAATAATAGGGTTATTGTTAATTTCTTAAATTTAAAGAATCCACTGCAGTTACTGCAGGACTGTACTGTCAGGAGAATGACTGTGATAATTATACATATAAGAACTTATGTAGAATACCAGTATGAATATGATGGAACACCCAAGTCAATTAAAAGAAGTGTCACTGTTGTATACTTTCCTTATTACAGATTATGCATTTCATTCGTTGTTGGACTGTACATTATGTGGATAGTATTCTACTTCTCCGGCCTGGTTGCTTATGCTATTTATAAAGACTGTGACCCACTCACATCAGGAAGGATAGAGAAACCTGATCAGATCGTTCCGTACCTCGTGATGGACAGATTGGCTCACCTGACTGGAATTCCTGGCATTTTTGTGGCTGCGGTGTACGGTGGCGTCCTCAGGTCAGATTCCTTTTACCTTTTAGGTTTAAAAAGTGTAATTCTTTTTTATTTAATATGTTATATTTTGTTTATTATGATACATGCAAGAAGCATGAGGGTAATTCAGTGAGGTGCACCTTGCATCATTAATAGTCGTATGATCCTGTTACTCATCTGCGTAACAATACATATTAGTTATTATTATGAAAGAGTCAGCAATGTGTTAGATATTACATTTCGTGATGGATACTGATGAGTGTATGCATGTGTGTGTCCCTGAAATGTTGACACATGAAGTTTTCCAGCACCACTTGCTTAACACTTCACTTATTCGTTCCTCCGTGTGGCTTCAGACCTTTTCAGTCTATTTCCTTATGGCTGAAGTTTCTCATGATCAGTAGTTTTACATTGCTCATGTAGGCTCTACTAACTGCATCTGCTACTGGGGCCTCAGCTGCCCTGTTGTTGACTTCATATTCCTGTCTTGATCCGTTGTTGAGTAGTGGGTGGAACATCCCTGCTATAATCACCTTGGGTCCCTCAGTTCTGTGTGTCCCTGTTATGTAGTCGTTCGACCTCTCTCCAGTTATTCCGTTCTTCTCAAAAATCTAGATTCTTGTTTAGCATTGATAGTCCTCCACCTGCTCTGTTTCCTCTGTTTTTTCTCACTATCCGGTATTCTTCTGGGAAAACCAGATCTGTAATTAAATCCATGAAGCCAAAGAAGCCTCATTATTTGCTCTTTCTATTCATTGCTCTTATTGGTTATTTCATCTGGATTAGCATACACACTGTTAGTTTCCTTTCCAATACTGTGTTCATGTTTTTGGGGTCATGTTCTCCTGGTTCTTGTCGATGTTTCAGGGGAGAAGTGAGTAAAACAGTGGGTGGATGTATGGGTTAAGGCTAGTTATGGGGGATTGAACTTGCACAGGAAAGTTGTGCGACTGAATGTGGAGGTGAAGTTTAATGGGAAAAAAGGGAAGGGGGAGAGGATGGAGGCTGGGATGAGGGAAAGTTGTGAGAAACCATC